AAAGAATAGAATAAAACTATTATTTGCACACAACATTGCTATATATACAGGAAGTCTAAAAGAACCTATAAATAAACTATTAGAATTAATATGTGACTTAATGGATACAAGATCAACATAAAAATATATTATATTTCTATATACTAGCAATAAACTACTGAAAAATGAAATTTTAAAAAGCATAATAACAATTGCAACCAAAAAAACAAACATCTAGGAATAACTCTAACAAAAGATATGTAAGATGGTTAAAGAGAAAACTACAAAATATTACTGAGAGAAAATAAAGACCTAAATAAGTGGAGAAATACATCATGTTTACAGATTCAGAGACTCAATACCATAAAGATATAAATCCTCCCCAAATTGATCTATAGATTCAATGCATCCCAATCAAAATCCCAATTGTTTTTTTAATCTGGAAAGTGATAATTTAAATAAAGAGCTAATCACCAATAGCAGAGACAACACTGAAAAAGATATCAAAGGTGGAGAACTTACACTAATGGAAGTATGAAGACTTATAAAGTGGAAGTAATTAGGAAAGTATGGTATTGGCATATAGATAAAGACCTAAAGGAATAGAATCCAGAAACAAACCCAAACATTAAATTGAAGAACTTTTATTCTTTAAGAGTTTCTATTACAAAAGTCAAGGCAAGCCACAAATAGGATGAAGATATTTGCAATACAGGCGTCATGTATCCAGAATATACAAAGACCTCCTACAAATCAATAAGAAAAAGACAGGCAACCCAATTTTTAAATGGGCAAAAAACTTGAACAGGCATTTCACAAAAAAGAATAGTCAAATACCCAAAAAAGTTTATGAAAACATGCTCAACATCAATAACCATCAGGAACATGAGAATAAAACCATGACATACCACTACACACCTATCAGAATTGCTGAAATTGTATCAACTAACAAGACCAAGTGTTGGCAAGAATGTGGAACAACTGGAATTCTTACACATTGCCAACGGGAGTATAAACTGTTGAAATCATTTTGGAAAACTGGCAGTATTCCTAATAACCCAGTACTGGAAACAGCCGAAATGTCCATCAATAGCAGAATGAATGAATGAACAGGCAAACAACTGTGATAGAGTCATATAATGAAATACTATACCACAATGAAACAAAGTAATCTAATACTATATACAACATGAATGAATATAGATAAACCTCACAAATCCATGTTCAGCAAAAGAAGTTGAATCAAAAAACTAAGCGTGTACCCAATGACTCCATGTTATCATTTATATTAAGTGAAAAACAAGCAAAACTCAGCCTGAGCAACGTAGTGAGACCTCATTTCTACAAAAAGTAGAAATAGAAATATTAGGGGCGCATGCTTGTTGTTCTAGCTACTCAAGAGGCTAAGTCAGGAGGATCGCTTGAGCCCAAGAGTTTGAGGTTGCAGTGAGCTATGATGACACCACTGCACTCTAGCCTGGGCAACAGAGCAAGACCCTATCTCAAAAAAAAAAAGAATCTATAGGCAAACTATTAGTGCCAAAAAATCATTAGCCTCTAAAAATAAACTACTAAAACCCAAAGAATCTACAGATGAACAACAGAATGAATAAACAAACCTGTGGTATAATTGTACAAAGGAACCCTATACAGCAATTACATGAATGACCTATTGCTTCAACAACTTGAGTGAATCTCACAGAATGTTGAATGAAAGACACCAGAAATAGCACATACTAAAGAGTTCCATATATACATTTAAAAACAGACAAATTAATCTATGATGCTAAAACTCATCTTGCTTCATGGCTAGTGGATAGTAGTTACTTTTACAGAGAAAGGAGGAAGTAAAGATTGGTAGGGAGTTCAAGGGGAATTTCTAGAGTTCTGTAATATTCTACATCTTGACCAGGGTGATTATTATGTGGGTGTACTCACATCATGATAATTCATTGAGCTGTATACTTCTGATTTGTGCACTTTAATGTACATATATTATACCTCAATGTTTCAAAAGAGTTTATTACAAATTTTTCTAATCATATTCCACTGCTTAAAACATTGTAATGGCTCCCCATAACCTAAAAGCAAAACAAAATCTAAGCTCTTAAGCATGGCCAAATATGATACGGCTCCTACCTTCAATTTAATCCTCATCTCTGTCCATCCCCCACATATATTTCATATTCCAGGACATGATATTCTGCTTCAGCCTTTCTGCCTTTAGATATTGTTTTCATTAGTTGAAATTCTCTCCCTCTTCACACTCCACCCGGTCACCACACACTGGCCCTGAAATTTCCACCCGACTTGGATACTAACCCCTCCAGGATCCTTCTGTATCCTTCTATCCCAAAGTTTATCACTCCCCTTTCTATACTGAGTCAATCTATCATCACATGCATTAAGCTATAGTATAACTGTCTATCCATACTCTATTGTCCTGTAAATAACTCAAGCACAAGGTCTAAATTTTCATGTTACCAATGCCTAACATGAGACTTGGCATGTGGTAGTCACTCAACAAATTTCACTTTTACATATATTTCCTTATTAATTAGATTATAAAACTATCTAGGATGAAGACTAAGTCTTATACTTCCTCCACGGCATATACCATAGCAATGAGTACACTATAGGCACACAACAATGATGGTTTAGCTAGTAGTGGAACCTGTATCAAAAGTTAACTCCATGAACAAATGCTCTTTTTAAACCATATGCTCACCCAAGATAAGGTATATATGTCCTACTGAAATTGCAAAAGGTTCCTTTTATACATACAGATTTCCAGAGTTTTAAGCTAGAAGAAACCAATAGAGATCTCTTAGTCAAAACCCTTAGGAAAGCACTGAAGCCAAGAAAAATTAAGTGACTTGTTCAAAGTCAAAGCTATAACCAGAAGGGCCAAGACTAGGACTCAGATCTCTTGGGTTCTCATTTAGTGCTTCTTACAATCCATGCACCCCTCCCTTTTGTACCCTCTGACTTCTCAAAATATCTGCTTTATTATTTTATATTTAGATGGTTGATATCCTCAATTTCATTTTAAACTTTGTTTCTAACAAACAAATACTAAAAGTACCAACAAGTTCAACCAGGAAAACACCATTTCCAGTTCCAATATCAAGCATTGAAGCATCCAATGGAATCTTGTGTTTCTGCATCCACCTTATTAGTCGATTCATACTCTCTTCTCCAAACCTGTTAGAGAGGTTAATCAAATGACAGGATTACAAAGCAAAACTCACAACTATATTCCACTTAAGCTATTTACACCACATGCTCAAAGTCTTGTTTAAAAGTAAGAATGTCGGCCGGCGCGGTGGCTCACGCCTGTAATCCTAGCTCTCTGGGAGGCCAAGGTGGGCGGATTGTTTGAGCTCAGGAGTTCGAAACCAGCCTGAGCAAGAGCGAGACCCCGTCTCTACTAAAAATAGAAAGAAATTAATTGGACAACTAAAAATATATAGAAAAAACTAGCCGGGCATGGTGGCGCATGCCTGTAGTCCCAGCTACTCGGGAGGCTGAGGCAGGAGGATCACTTGAGCCCAGAAGTTTGAGGTTGCTGTGAGCTAAGATGATGCCACGGCACTCTAGCCCAGGCAACACAGTGAGACTCTGTCTCAAAAAAAAAAAAAAAAAAAGTAAGAATGTCTGTGACTACTTAAGCTTTGTCTCTACTGTTATTTAGGAGAAAATACCTCCAGGAATATAGAGAATAGACACAATCAGTATGTTACTTACTAATGTTTCTCTACATCAGCATTAACACTTAACATGTTGGAGGCTCAAAATTGTATTGCTTATTGAAAATGGACAACTACAGGATGAGAGTGCTTTCCTAATATTCTCATGAAATTTAAATCTGAGTTATTCAAACAGAGAAGAGATACTTTAAATCTACCCGCTAAAGCCAGACTCAATCCAAGGTTCCCAAGATTTTTAGGCTATCTTTCTTTGGGTATAAGCCCTTAAAAAAATGTATACATGTGTGTGTATATATGTATATAAACATGCACACACACATACAGTCTTCTGGATATAATTTGATTTTTTTCTCTAACTCACCAGATTTCTCCTGTATCTCCATATTCTTGAAAAGTTTGCAGTTCTCTCTCATAGACAGCATCCCAACTATGTAAACAATGAAACGCAAAGTGAGATTCTTGAATTAAACTGTATTATGAATTAAATGTGTATTTCAATACATATAATGTAATACGTACATTACAGAGCTATTTAAGACAGAAGTTTAAAACATTACTAGTGTTATCAACAAGTGCACATAGCTCAATCTTTTAACATCCTTGGCTTAAAAGAAGGAAAGACATGGGCAAGCAGAATAAGTTTATACTGTACATCTAAAGCACTCAGAACAAAACCTGACCCATAACAAAGGCTATATAAGCTTTAGCCTAAAAAAATACAAAGAGACATTTGTCCAAGGATCTCTACGTCCCAGACTTAAGTCCAAAACTTGAGACAAGCATAGAGTTATTACTGCACATTTGGTCTCAAATGTGCACACACATTTTCTACCAGTACAGCGGTTGCTCAGGATGGAACTCACCAAAGATCAGATCTGCTTAAAGATTAAGTTTAAGATTAAGATTTAAGTCTTAAACCAGTTTCTTTCCTGTGCTATTTGTCTCTGCCTTTTACTGTCTTCCAGGCCTCCAGTTAGATTTTCTCTTAATCCTTTTAAGCACAGTTCCCCCCCCCCCGCCCCCATCATTTGCCCTCTCTTCCTACTGCCTCTCCAGAATCCCTGCTCGCCCTCATCCCTCCAAGTTACCTCTCATCCTAACCGTTCCCCACAGTCATTCATCCATCCATCCATCAATTCATTAAACTACTGAGCGTCTGTTTTAGATCAGATCGCTTTCTCTTACCCCAAAATGCCCCACTATGTCTTCGCTCCCTCCTCAAATCATCCTCCATCCCACCCCTTCCAGCTCCCGCATCCCTACTCTTGTACCCTTGGCCTTTTTGGCTCTCAGGCGGCACTTCTCGCCTGCCCCCCAGCCCGGTCTCTTACCCTTGCCCACCAGCCCTACTCGTATGCCCCGCCCACTCTCCCTTCCAGTCCCCCAGGTTCAAGACCCCTAAAAGGCCTCCCCAAGAGCTTCAAAGCCCATCCCGCAGCCCCCGGCCCCTTGGGCTCCAATCCCTTGAAACATCGGTTAACCGCCCAGGGTGGCCATTGGGGATTCTATCCTTTCAAATCCCCTCTAACTTCCCCCGAGGCGGCCCTTCAGGCTTCATCCCGTCACGCCCTCAAGGCTCTCCCCTCCCCCGGAGTCCCCGGGTCTCCACCCGTCATCCCCTTCCCGAGGTTCAGGCAGGGCAGCCGCTCACCCTCCCCTACCCTACGCCACACTCACTGCTCACGGGTCCCCAGCGCCGACGGGACAAAACCATCTTCCAGTGGACCGCCCTCAGCGGACTCCACTGCCACCGCAGCGCCACCGCCGCCGTCTGCGCCCGCGCTCATCTCGCTCCGCGTCCCGGACGGCCGTTGGGGCCGCCATAGAGACGTGGCGCGGGCAGAGCGGACGTGCCGGCTGGCGCCTCTAGGCGGCGGGAGGCCGCCCTTTCTACTGCTCCGGGCCCCGCGCGAGGCTGGCAGAGCAGCTGGAGAGCCGCGGCTCCTTCTGCGCTCGTCAGGGTGCCCCGCACAGGCGTGGGCCGGGCAAAGCCTCGCCTCCCTCCTGCGCCCTCCAGCCAGCGTTAGATGTACCCCCTCGGTCGAGGTCCGAGCGCGACTGTATTTGGGAACTGCTGTTTGTAAGGGACCACACAAGGTATTGCGTGTTGGAAATGGGCTGGCGGTGGGGAAGTCACTGGGGAGACCTGAAGCCCGCACCGCCCGACCCAAACGCACAAACCGCCGCCTCTCTCCACACTGGGGGCAGCGCTGGGGAGTGGGTGGACAGACCATCGCATTATTGGGCTTCCCGGCAAGGAGGCCAGTTTCATCTGTGGCTAGTCTTCTGACTTGAAAATAGCATCTGGCCGTTTCTGACTCGATGTCATAAGTGGACCTGGGAATTTATGCCTAGGGAAAGGAATGCCCTACGACTCCCCACACAGTACGCCAACCACCGGGATCTGTGTGTGGTGGAAGAAAGAGGCCTAAAGTGAGGGTCAAGATGCTTGGATAAGTCTCAGCTGTGCCTCGAACCAGGCACCTGGCCTCGTCTCAGTCTCTGTGTGCTTCAGCTTCCTTACTGTACCACGCTCAAAACAGATAGTGACTTGTTCCACAAGATTGCTCCCAACCCAAGAACCTGAGATTGCATCTGCCTGTATTGGTCTCCCCGCCTTTGGTAGCTCTGCGGGATAATACAAAAGATCTTTTGGCCAAAGATCTCGGTATTTTCTGTAGTAGCAATGAAATACTGGTGGTCCAATTTCGTGGGTAAGGACCGCAAAGGCCCTTAGCAAGACTGCCTTCCAACTAAAAGGAATTGTTTCCTAGGCCACGTTTCTGTTGACTGAGCAAACAGAAACCCAATTATAATGCAAGTCCCCAGAGGTAAATGGCATCAACTGTTGCATTTCCAACTCACAGAAATCCTGCTTGGAACCAAATGTGCATCTCCTCCTATATATGGTGTTCCAAGATCTTCAGGCAACCACTAGTGAGAGGATAAAGTAAAAGGCAGATGGGAATCCATGTAAGATCTTCAGGCAACCACTAGTGACAGGATAAGGTAAAAAGCAGATGGGAATCCGTGTGCATAGTGATTAAAGAACTCAAGAAAGAGCGTAAGTAACCTTATTACAGAGCAATAAAACCTCCGGATGCCATGGCCAATTAGTGCAGCCCTGGGCTGGTGGTTGTTTTGATCTTTTCTAGGCTCTAGATGTTAGAGAAAGCAAGCTTGAATGTGACCGAGTGGATCTTAAAAAGTTTTAGGTTCTAATTAAGAAGCACCCATGAAAGATAAGCCTGTCTTCAACCTGGTGTATTGCCAACACTTAAGATGTTTTTGCTGTGTGTGATGAAAGCTATAAACAGTCGTTGGTATGGAGTCCTGGAAAAACCCACAGTTTATACAGAGTTCCTTCTCTGGCTCCAGACAGGATTACTCTGGCTGTTTAGTCCTGAGGGTTGTGTGGGGCACCACCTCTGATCACCCAGGGTGATGAGATTCTTGGTAGAGGATGGAGAAGCTCTGAGCAGAATTGCCCAAAACCAGGGAGAAGCAGGAAGGTGCCAAGGAACACAGTCCCTCCCACTCACTGGGTGCCCTTTATATGAGGCAGGAAGGAGATTGTGAGCGCTCTGGCTTGCCTATCTCCTTCTCACTCTTCCGACCCCTGCAGCCTGGCACCTTACTCACTTACAACTCTTCCGAACCTGTGCTTCCAATAGTTCTCAAACACTTCCCGATTAGTAAACCCAAGGGTCAAGTTCTAGGCTTTTCCCTTTCTTCACTCTGCAGTTATCAACATCGCTGAGCATATCCTCCTTGAAAATCCTTCTTGTTTTCCCACCACCTCCTGCTAAGTGAGCCTTTCAAAAAGGAAGCTGGGCGCCTGGTCCTGGAGTTGGACTGCCAGGTTTTGAGCCCTGGCCTCAGCATGTGTGACCATGAGCAAGTTCCTTAACTTCTTGGGGCCTCAGTTTGCCCATCCTTAAAACATCCTTAGAAGGATGATAATAGCACCTGTCACATAAGGCACCTGTAGAGAGTAAACAAGGTCATTCCTGTAAAACCCTACCTGTTTGGCACATTGAAAATGCTCAGTAAATGTTAGCTCAGTTTCTTCAACTCTAAAATGGAATTTAAAATGAATCTACTTTAGAGAGTTGTTAGGAAGATTAGATAAGTTAATACACTGTACATGTAAAAGGACTTAGAACAGAGCCTGACTTATAGTCTGTATTCAGTAAATATTAGCTATTGTTTTTATTCTTAGTGACTTCCTATTCCAACCTCTTGCTCCTGCTCCAGATTTTTATTGCAGCTGCCTGGATGTTCCTTGTTACAGTAAACCAAACCCACTTGCACTACTTTCCCCTCTACCCCATGCCTCCAGATCTTTTCTTGCCTGTGTTTCCAGTCAGTTGGTCCCTGACCATCTACACTGTCTGCCAAAGCAGAACATCATCCTTGTCCGTTCCTCCCTGCACAGCTCCTCTTGATCTTCTCTTAGTCTCTGGGCTCAGTTTCTCCAGCCTATCATCACTGCTCTATCTTCCTTCTGGACACTCATGCTCACAGCTCTCGGTTCACTGGGGCCATGGCAGCAGCTTCCAAGTAAACCTCCCCCCAACCATTCAGCACTAGGCCCCTCCTCAGGCTCCGTTGTCTTCCTCCAGAAAGTCCTCCAAGACTCAGCCAGTTTTCCTTTCCTTCAGTGCCTGACACCACTCATTCCTTTCCTTTGCATTTTCCTGCCTGATCATGGACTAGGAGTCAAACAGACTTGAACTTGAATCGCAACTTAGTCCATACAAGATATGACCTTAAGCAAGTAACTTAATTTAAACCTCTTAAGTCTCAAATTTTTTCAGCTACAAAATGGGCATAATCCAAATGAAACTAGACTTTCTTGTTCCCACTTTCAGGCCCATCATAGCAGAGTGTGGCATTTGCATGCATTTATATACATGCAGAAATACTTGATTTGTGTAGATATATATAAATGGAATCTTACCATTTGCATGTTTGCAACTTGCATCTTCATTTAACAGTATTGTAGTGATATACTGTACTTGGAGATACACTATAGATCTCTTATTTTTTAAACTACTTCTTGATAATAGATATGATGGCTAACAATCATTGGTCTGTCATTGTATCCCAGGAACTGTGGTCAGAACATCCAATATATTGTCTCAGTTACTCCTGAAGACAGCCACATAAGGGGGATACTAGTATTGTCCTCATTTTACACATGAGCAACCTAGAGCACATAGAAATTACTTAAGGTTACACAGTACTGGAGCTGAGATTGGAACCCAAGAAATCTACTATAAAGTTTTCGAGCATGACCACTACATGAGCATGCTTTATCACTATAGATGTTTTGCCGAGGTTTTCATGAGGATGGCAGTCAAGAGGGATTACATCACACAACATACAACACTAGAGCCTGCCAGACGTGGTGGTGCTGCACGTGTAGTCCCGGCTACTTGGGAGGCTGAGGCAGGAGGATTGCTTGAGTTCAGGAGTTCTGGGCTGTAGCATGCTATGCTGATCAGGTGTCCGCACTAAGTTCAGCATCAATATGGTGACCTCCCGGGAGCAGGAGACCACCAGGTTGCCTGAGGAGGGGTGAGTCAGCCCAGGTGGGAAATGGAGCAGGTCAAAACTCCGGTGCTGATGAATACTAGAGCCTCAAAATTCCTTATCTTCATCCCAAATTCCAGAATTTCACTGTAGCTACTCATCTCTTATCACTCTCTTTCTACCTTAACCCCCCAAACTCTTCCACTCTGTCTGGCTCTCTTTCCTCTTCTCCTGAATCCCAAATTGTTTCTTCAGTGGGCATACCTAGGTACTTCCTTCTTAGCAAGCCTACACTTTTTATCAGCTACTTCTGTCTCCATCCTGCTCCAGCACCCAGCTGATTAAACACAACCATCTTCCCTAGGACCATCCTACTTTTTCATACAGCATCAATTCAACAATCATGTGTCAGGCAACATCTACATGCCAGGCATTATTCCAGATGATGGAGATGCAATGGTAAGCAAATCAAACATGAATCCCTGTCTTTGGGAAGTTCAGAATATGCTGGTGGAGGAGTAAAGATAATAGACATGAAAAATGAATAAAATAGAGATGCTGCTAGATAGTGATAAGTGGCAAAGTGAAAAGTAAAGCAGGGAAGTAATATGGAGATTGTGGGGTGAAAGTTGCAATCCTTCTGAGAATATTCAGGGAAGGACTCTCTGAGGGAGTGGCACTGAGTGAAAACCTAAAAGAGGTTGTCATAGGTGTGTTCTCAGGGAGCCAAGTCTGAGACTGAGATGAATATGGAGGAAGTTGGTTAGGGAGTGCTCTCAGGATCAACACCTGTTGGGGAAGGAAAAGTAGGACTGAATGAATGAAGTATTTGGGTTGGGGTACCATTACAATAGAACTTCAGCAAATGCTCTCTGCACTATCCCCTACTTTGGGCACTGTAAAGTTGGAATGACCCTTTGGAATTTTCCCAAGTTGGAATGAAGGAGCTGGGCCTTTATTCATCTACATTGACCAGGCATTGAATGCTGGTTGCCTAGGAAAGGGGGTGTGGTCTTAGGCAATGAGACTCTTCCACTGAGGATAGTTCCACAAGAGGGCTGACAGCTGAGGGCTGCTCCCTAGCAGGAAGTCAATCAATCCTGCAGGGGGTGGGGGAGTGGAGGAGTGTCCGAGGGGCACATCAAAGCATCTAGGGCAGAGATAGTAGGCCATGCAGCTGTCTGGGAAGAGAGCATTCCAGGTAAAGGAAACAGCAAGTGCAAAGGCCCTAGGATGGAATGAGGCAGGGATACCCAGGAAGCAGAAAGACTCCTGTAGCTG